CCCCCCATCTTCAATTCGTCTTTCAAGGGTAATATATTTCACCGTTATCCTCCCTCCCCATTCGGTGCCGTTCGAACTAAGATTGCGCAAGGTAAGCGTTGGCAGGCAGCCCGCTTGGGGGCGAAAGACTTTGTTCTGGCTCCGACAGGGCCCGGCCGGGTATCGAGAGAATTAATCCCTCGCCCCATGCTCGTTTTTAAATCGCTCGGCCATTGAATCGACCTCTTACCATTGACATATTATTTATTGCTCGATTTGCTCTTTTTTTTTGTTAATATCTAATTTTTTTCTTCCATAGGAGGCTGCCGCATGCTGGTTGTCAGAATGATGTCCCTTCGCACCGCCGTGCGGAGAGCTTCCTCCAGCAAACCTCTCCGTTCGCTCTCCTCAACACACATCGTCGCTGCCGGCGCTGCTCGTCGGGTGCCCGGTCTTCAGCAGCGTCGGCTGTATTCGCGATCTGCCGACTCTCAGCTCACGGCGACCCGGTCGACCGTCGTTCAGCTGCTGAGCAACATCGGCTCCAAGCGTGAGGTCCAGCAGTACCTCTCCCACTTCACCTCCGTCTCCTCCCAGCAGTTCGCCGTGATCAAGGTTGGCGGCGCGATTATTACAGAACACCTGCAGACGCTGTCGTCGGCACTCGCCTTCCTGAACCATGTTGGCTTGTATCCGATCGTCGTGCACGGCGCGGGCCCCCAGCTGAACCGCATGCTGGAGGCGGCCGGGGTTGAGCCGCAGTTCGAGGACGGCATCCGCGTGACGGACGGCAAGACGCTGTCGCTGGCTCGCAAGCTGTTCCTCGAGGAGAACCTGAAGCTGGTGGAGGAGCTGGAGCGCATGGGCGTGCGCGCCCGCCCGCTCACCTCGGGCGTCTTCACCGCCGACTACCTCGACAAGGACAAGTACAACCTGGTGGGCAAGATCAACGGTGTCGACAAGACCCCGATCGAGTCCGCCATCCAGGCCGGCTGCCTGCCCATCCTCACCTCCATGGCCGAGACCACCGACGGCCAGGTGCTCAACGTCAACGCCGACGTCGCTGCGGGTGAGCTCGCGCGCGCCCTGCAGCCCCTCAAGATCGTCTACCTGGCCGAGAAGGGCGGTCTGTTCAACGGCGACACGGGAGAGAAGATCTCGGTCATCAACCTCGACGAGGAGTACGACCACTTGATGACCCAGTGGTGGGTCCGCCATGGCACCCGCCTCAAGATCAAGGAGATGAAGGAGCTGCTCAGCGACCTGCCCCGTACGTCGAGCGTCGCCATCATCCACCCGGCCGACCTGCAGAAGGAACTCTTCACCGACTCCGGCGCCGGGACCCTGATCCGCCGCGGCAACAAGGTCCACACCAGCACCTCGCTCGACGACTTTGCCAGCATCGACCAGCTGAAGGAGGTCCTGATCCGCGACCGCGAGGGTCTCGACGCCCGCGCCACCGTCGACCGCTACGTGGAGGGCCTCAGGGAGCGGGACTTCAAGGTCTACTACGACGAACCCATGGAGGCCCTGGCGGTCGTCCTGCCCCCGTCCCAAGACTCCGCCTTCGCCCACCTCGCCACCTTCACCATCACCAAGGCCGGTTGGCTGACCAACGTCGCCGACAACGTCTTCGCTAGCATCAAGAAGGACTTCCCCAAGCTCGTCTGGACCGTCAAGGAGGACGACGAGAACCTCACCTGGTTCTTCGACAAGGCCGACGGCAGCCTTAGCCGTGAGGGCGAGGTCCTCTTCTGGTATGGCGTCGAGAGCGGTGAGGAGGTCAAGGAGCTCATCAACGAGTTCAACCAGCACGGTCGCCAAATGTTCGGCGACATCAACCTGGAGTCCCGTCTCGCCCGCGCCGCCCAGGCCGCCCTCAACATCGGCAAGGGCACCGGTGCCAGTGCTGCTTCGCTCGAACAGAGACGGGCCTTTTCCACCACCACCACCACCACCACCACCACCAACGCCCTCCGCTCCGCTCGCTCGGTCCGTCCCTCGATCCCTGCGGCCGCCGCCCGTCGCGCGTACTCGACCAACCCCAACCCCCCGCTCGGAGACAAGAACATTTCCAACAGCCAACCCTCCAAGGTGGCTCTCATTGGTGCCCGCGGCTATACGGGCCAGGCGCTGATTAACCTGCTCAACGCCCACCCGAATATGGACCTGCGGCACGTGTCGTCGCGCGAGCTGGCGGGCAAACAGCTGCAAGGATACGACAAGCGCGAGATCATCTACGAGAACCTGAGCCCCGATGACGTGCGCAAGATGTCGGCCAACGGTGACGTCGACTGCTGGGTCATGGCGCTGCCCAATGGGGTCTGCAAACCCTTTGTCGATGCCGTCGACCAGGGCGCCGCCACGGGCAACGTTATCGTGGACCTGAGCGCCGACTACCGCTTCAACGACCAGTGGACCTACGGTCTGCCGGAGCTGGTCAACCGCTCCACCATCGCCAAAGCGTCGCGCATCGCCAACCCGGGCTGCTACGCCACCGCCGCCCAGCTGGGTATCTCCCCGCTGGTTCCCTTCCTTGGCGGCCAGCCCACCGTCTTCGGTGTCTCGGGCTACTCGGGTGCCGGCACCAAGCCCAGCCCCAAGAATGATGTCCAGAACCTGACCAACAACCTCATCGCTTACAGCCTGACGGATCACATCCACGAGCGTGAAATCAGCTCGCAGCTTGGTGCTGAAATCGCTTTCATTCCCCATGTAGCTGTTTGGTTCCAGGGCATTCATGTAAGCTTTCTCTCTCTCTCTCTCTCTCTCTCTCTCTCTCTCTATTGAATATTCTAACAAAAACAGCATACGATTAGCATTCCCCTGAACAAGGAGATGAGCTCGCGCGACATCCGAAACCTCTTCCAAGAGCGGTATGCGGGCGAGAAGCTGGTCAAGATCGTCGGGGAGCCGCCGATGGTCAAGAACATCGCCGGCCGCCATGGAGTCGAAATTGGTGGCTTCGCCGTCCACTCGAGCGGCAAGCGCGTCGTCATTTGCGTCACTATCGACAACCTCCTCAAGGGGGCGGCCACGCAATGTCTCCGTAAGTCTTTTCTCTCTCTCTCTCTCTCTCTCTCTCTCTCTCTTCATTGCTAATACTCTCACAGAGAACATGAACCTTGCTCTCGGATACGGCGAGTACGAGGGCATTCCGTTGGAGTAAATCTAGACAGAAAGAAGACGCAAAAAAAAAAAAAGCCCAGACTCCTCGGAGTCCCCCACCGATACCGACATGTAGCTTTTTGATCTTTGAATTTTTTTTTTCTTCTCCCCTGGTCGTGTCATGTATGTCTCATACCCCACGTGCATCTCGGCTGCTATGGGTCTGGAGATGCTGTGGCTGTCAACTATCTACCTTACATAGGAATCTTTTCTATCTCTCTCTATCCTCTTATCTCTTTTTCTTTTCCTTCCATCTGATTTAGGTTGGGTATTTCGTGGTCATTTGCCATAGATTCCATTCTGGTGGTCAGCTTATAAAAGCAGATAGCATCTAGTTTGATTTTGTTCATTCAGAGCTCTTGTATAGCATCACTTATTTTAATATACCATATCACCTCTTTTAATATACGATTCTTCTACTAGAGATATACTTATGGATAGGGAGGATATGATGTGCATCCTGTCTAGAAGTACCTAGGCATTAGTGTTGTGATATCCACTACCTGTATAAGCTGTGTCAACTATCAAGTAGTTCAAGTAGTTCAAAAGTATCAGGTAGTATATCAGGTTCAAATTCATATAAAGCCAGAACCAAATACTATTGAATAGAAAGAAGCTGGTAAATGCCACACCATCCAAAGTCGACAGGGCCTCCTGCCTAAAACGGTCGCTCTGCACGCGCCCCGCGACGTGACCGCGTCTTTCCTCGTCCGGGTCTGAATCTCTTCCACCCCGTCTCATCTTCTTTGTCTTTCCGGTGTCTCCTTTCTCATCGAACTTGTCTGTCATCTATGACAGGTTCTAGATCCCATCGAATGGTTGGGTTCTTCACCGGTAGGTTCATTTGAGTATGTCTGTATGCCTTGAGTTGGTATTTCTTGGTATGGATAGGGGGCCAACTGACCTTTTTTAACAGCGTGAGAAAATACCATGTTCTACAGCCACGAAAGTGAGTATAGAATGTCTTGCATAGAGGGGGATGATAGTACATGCTGATATCATAGTCCTCACCTCTCCCGAGCATGGGGTGGCAACTGTCTGGTACGTAATTCATTAGGCCCGCTATCTCATCTACATGAAGTTGACTGTGCATAGGCTCGTCGCCACCTTGGGCTCCAAGTCCATTGCGAGAAGGCTGAACCGGAAGAAGATCTTGGACGTCAATGTCCCAAAGGCATGCAATGTCATTATGGACCCTGCGGCACCCATGGCGCTGAGATTGCAAGGGAATCTCCTGTAGGAAAATTTGCACTCCTCGCGTACCAGTGGTGATTCATTACTAGTGATCACTGACCGTTGTAAGATACGGCGTCTCCAGAGTATATAACCAGCAATGTGGATATACCCTGACCGACGCCCAGGCCATCCATGAAAAGATGAAGACCCTCTTCAAGACCCTGCCGAATGGGGGGCTGGATCTAACAGCCGGCAAGCCTAGGTGAGGATTCCTGAAGAAGAAGAAGAAGAAGAAGAAGAAGAAGAAGAAGAAGAAGAAGAAGAAGAAGAAAAAATCAAAACGATTAACTCATTATACAGACCTGAGCAGCTCATCCTCCCTTACGACCCGTCGTTCTTGCCAGACGTCAGCCTTCCCGGCCTGAACCTCGATTTCTCCAGTGCCTGCAAGATCACATCTGAGAGCCAGCAGTCGAGTGTTTTATACACAAACTCCTCCCTTGCAAGTCAGGAAACACCTACAAGGGAAATGCAGCTGCAGCTAGAGATCACTTCGGATGATCTCCTTGGGAACGTAGCTGGTCTGGCACCTGGAAGTGAGATCAGTCACTCTGCTCACAGGCTGGGTTCCCGTGGCCAAGAGCTCACACTGCCGTTTGGCATGGAAGAGGGTGTGCTTTTTCACCCTGACTTCGAGTTTGATGAAAATGGTGACATTGTTGAATTGGGCTCTAAGAATCATATTGACGCTGCCGACGAAGACCCAAGTGAAGTCAAAGTGAGACAAATGCAAGAGGGACGGCCCACCCCATTTGAACCAGAGGTACGTATCTACACTCTTAGTTATAAAATCCATTCAGCTTCTAGTACTGGTAGTAGCTGACGGATACTAAATAGCCAATGATGATTGACGATCTGGATCATCCACAGCCTGCCAGCCCCCTCCAAGCAGGAGACGCAGATTCTATGGAGATCGTGCAAGATCCCATTGAACGTCAAGCCAATATGCCTCGGAATAAACGGGCAATCAAAGCGCTGGAACCGGACGAGCAGATTGCACTCCGTAATACGGATCTGGCGCGGTGGAACAACGAGTATATCAACAACATGGCTACGGCCTGCAAACAGAAGCAGCAGAACAAACTTCCCACTCAGGCCAAAAGAAATGCCGAGTTTTGGGTGTTCGGTCAGGGAATAGGCTCAGTGGGAGCGGCACTGGGATCATCCAACGTGACTCATCCTTTGAAGCCTTACTACTCTGGAGAAGAATTGATCAGGGCTCTCCAGCCTAACCGGGTCGATCGAAAACGTGGCCACGCGTCGACGGAAGACAGTGACTCTGGCTCGACAAGCCGTCGTGTTCGTGCCAGGGGTGAACATCAACAGATGAGCGGTAACGGAAGTGCCATCCAGGACGATGCAATGAATCTCCTCCCCGATGTCGAACTTGGCCGCCATGCTCCTCCCGCCCTCCACGATGATTCTTCCATGATGCCGTGGAACGTCACAGGTTCTGTGAACAGTTCTCGATTTGGATCAGCCCATATCTTGCATGGACTGACTAGTGTTGGTGCCTGCGAATCCGCCGCTGGTCCCAGTGGTGGGTGGTTATCAGGTAGTCGGCTCACGAGTGCTAGTCCCCTTGCCGGACGAGGGTATGGATTGGACAGTCGGGACCGACTAAGCAGCCTTGATATCCCCGGCCACGAACTAGATGATCTGCAGGGACTGGGTGAATTTGATCTGACTGAATATCTGCAGAATGAGCTGGAATCCAATTTCACAGCTGCTACTAACGGATCACCACGATCACCGGGCCAACAACGGGAGCCCCTTCCCTCAGTGTTGGATCAGGAGAGCCAGAACTTCCTCGACTATGTGACTATGCAGATGGCTGTCCTCGCCGAGCTGGAGGAGGAGGAGGAGGAGGAGAAGGGGGATACGAGCGACAAGGGCAAGGCGCCAGCCAAGGATCTTCGCACGGTCGGCAGCAAGCAGTCGGTTTCCTTCACGGCCGTGCTGCCCCCAGGGGAGACGACGCGCGCAGTGGCCACCCACGCACTGATGCATGTTCTCGCTCTGGCTACCAAGGGCGTTCTCGTGGTGCAGCAGGAGAGCACTCGCATTGAGGCGCACGGCGATGCCACGCGATACGTACATGGTGATATTCTGATGCGTCTTGTTTAGATGGAGCTCTTCA